TCACTATCTGCAGCTCCTAACAAGCCCTCATTATGACAACCCTGTTTAAACGAGTAACTGCTAAATAAAGTAAAAGCTATAAGTTGTCCTGGATTTAACCGACGTGAAGCAACTGTGCATGCTAATGTTAATTATAGGGCATTGCTAGGTACGATAAATTATATGTTTCTAGGCACACTTTGAAGGATCGCAGATTGAGCAAAATCGCTCAGATGGCTGGAAGCAACTGAAGCAGACTGAAGCCATGAAATCAAAGAAAGGCTGATCACGCGTTTCAGCGGGGCCAGGATTCGATTTTATGCGAAGGAGAACACCCGGAAAAAAGCTGAGAAAAAGAGCGTAAAAAAGTGCTCATCCAGCAAGTCAGTGGCTGCACCACGTCGGATTTAGTCGATCACAAAGTTAGAGCATAGGTTGCTTATTGAACATGCCACTTGGGTAAAGTTCTGGGCTGGTTGTGGGCAGATGAACTAGAACGTCTAGTTAAGACCGGATTGCATTTGACCATGTTTTGACGGTTTAAATTAAATGGTATTTGATGTATAAAAAGCCTGGTTTTTGTCTCCAGAGTGAGCTAAATTAGACTAGCGTTCTCTAACGCCCAGGCACGACAAGTTTGTATTGTCGCCTGCCACTCAAAACGTTGCATACAACAATATCTGTCATGACTGAAAGCCCCCGTTTGAAACAAGAAAAACGCATGCTTGATGAGATCATCTCATTTAAAAATATAGCTCCAAGCCACCCACGCCCTTTGGTGAATATCGCGAAGAAATCCTGCTCAGATTCACGGTTGCAGATGACCATCTTGGGCGAGTAGCTTTAGCTCTCTTTCAAATTTTAGTTCACAATCGCTCATAGTTTCGGTGGAAGCGCGTTTCGTAGATTTCGTAGCAAACGCGTTCGCCTCACATATCTCATGTCGCTGACGCGAATATTCTGCCAAGAACTTGTCAAGTGCGTCGGAAATTTAAATCGTCGTACCCCGACATCTAAACCAACAGATATGAACGGTCTCAACTAGAGCAGTAAACAACGAGGCTTTTATTCCAGTGGAAATTTCGCGACGCACCGAGCGCAGAGTCTGACCGAACGTGAGCAATTTTTATGAACCGGTCAGCGTCACTGGACGTACGGGTGAAGAATAAACACGGTTGCCGTGGAACTGATTAAACATGACCCTCGCATAAACACCGCAGAGATTAAATACCGTAAAAGACTGACAAAATCAGATATCAAAACGACCATAATTGGCAGCCGCCGAGAGCAGCGTTTACGGGCGCAGTCGCCCGGCGAAGGTGAGAACAAAAATGGCGGAGGGGGGCGTGCCCGCGACGCTAGCGTGACGTGTCAGTGACGTGCTAACGAGGTGTCAAGCGGGCCACGCCTCTTGGCCAAACTCTTCCCTCTCTTTGGCTCTGCTTAGAGCCAGAGCCTCTGCTTAGAGTGTACGCGCAGCGCCCCGGCGCGGCCGGTTTGTTACCACCGTAAAAAATAATGCGAGATGGCGCTTGCATGCGATAGATGGTCGCGCCATATGTTTAATATCGGCCACTCATTTAGGTGTCCAATCAAATCTCGAGAAGTTTAAAGGGTGGTCGCCTTTACGGAATGCAAACAAGTTAGTTTTTTTTTTCATTTTTTTATCTTTTTTTAAAGCATAATTTTTATGGGAAGCTACGAATCAAACAAACAAAGGAGTGCGCCGATCGTTATAATGAGCAGGGGGATAATACGGTTTACTAAAAACAAGGTACCGCATACCTGTCTCGGAATCCTGGAGAGAATTCTATTGCAGAAATTTCCTCAAGTGAAAAAAAGAAACTAAAAATACAATTGCCCTGCGGCGTGCCTCTTCCAACAAATGCCATGAGGCGTCTCAAATCCAAGTTCATAACGTACGAAACAAAATTACCACCGAAAGGAGGCACCTCATTTCTATCTGTCCATTTGATCTCCAGCCACCTCTTTCTGATCGTAAAAGTTGGTGATATCAAAACCGAGAAGGAAGTACACTGTGCCAAGTAACAGGCTATCCATGTTACTACCTCAGGAAACGTAGTAAAAAACATTTCAGCTCCTCGCGTGGGGCGCCACTCATTTTTCCCCTTTATCTGGAAATATATAATTTTGATATGTGCATTTCAGATCAATTTTTGTTGTCCTTGTTACTTTATCAAAATGTACACTTTTTCATTACGACACCATAAAACACCTGAAGCGACTACCTTCCCTTAAAGCATTTGGGAGAGCAAATCACTTTGATTTACGGTGGGAGCTCTGCAAATGATGAGGCTGAAAATAGGTTTAAACATAAATAAAACAGCTACGTTGTGGCAGTGAACACATTAAAACATCGTGCTCAGAGCAAAGGGCATTTTATTTTTGCGTCTTGAAACACAACATTACCCTGGTCATTTGCCAAGCTCCTAGCGCAGATGGCAAACAACAAACCGTTTTCGAAATTTCGAAATGACGCATAGATTATGTGCGGCCGACATTAGTTGGTCATGCACAGTGAGAACACATTGGACACGAGCGCTTCGGCAGCATTCGGGGGTCTACTCGGATCGAAAAGCTTTCCACACGAGTGCTCCGTCACTGCTCGGCTCCAACTCGGAACCAATTACAGGTTTCGCTCCGGGGGTGATGAGACCAACTAATGGCGCCTCCGAATAATTTATGCATCATTTCACAATCACGAAAAGGGTATATATATGCTCTCTCAAAATGTTTGCGCGAGAGTAGTCGCTCCGGATTTTTTAGAGTGAAAGATGCATTGTTTTTGTTTCAATCTAAAAACCAGGTGTAGTCAGAACAACGTCGCAGACAACTGAACAACTACAAACATTGCAATGTTCGCAGGGAATATTTTAGATTGCAGTCATGACCTATATACAAAAGTCTCCTGCGCTGTAACTTTGAACAAACCGTGGCGCCCCCATTTTGGGCAGTAGAAGTTGACCTGATTGATCCTCGCGCTATTTCTGGCGCCTTCGTTGAGCTTTTTTTTATCTTTTTGCGTACTGCTGGAGAACGAAAAAAGAAAAAAAAAACCTTTCGATGTCCGAAATCGGCTAGATTCAACGCCGCAAGGCAACCGAAAGTACCAGATTCATGCCACCACCGCTAGGGTACGTGTCTCTTATGTCTAGGTGGTAAAGTCAGAACATCTAGCGTCCCGACCGTTGTTGGTCCCGGCACTTTTTTTTTTTGTTCCTTTTTATTTTGGAACGCGTGGCTCACGCTCTTAAGGTTTTGTCATCTACCAGACATCTATAGCGTAGCAAACGCGACGTAGCGTAGCGCACACAGACCCTGATTGTTCACAGATATCGAGTTTCTGCTCGCCGCCCAATCAAAGACCCCCGTTCTGTGCCGCGCAACATTCGCTGCGCTCAACGTCGGAGAAAAAAAAAAGAACCATTAGCATTTTAGATTTAACTAGAGTCACTAAATAGTTTGATTCGTGTTTCCACGGCGTTCGTATTTTGCTTGTATCCTCGTATTTTCTTCGTGATCTCGCGTTCCGCACCAAAGCAGGCACGCTTCTACCCGCGGGACAGTCTGAGACGCTCACGTCTGCTCTACCCGAAACAAGTCCTAACAAGTCCCTTTTCACAGCGCCCCCTGGACAACGCACAGGGCAGCGGTAAATAAACATTTTTGTACGCGTATACTTTTTTGATTCCACGTCTCTGCAGTTTCTTGGCATTGAACCCTATGCGAAGCGAAAGTTCGTCTGCTTCGTTTGCAGGGGTTCTGGTAACGTCAGAACGCCGAAGCCCCGATTGGCTCTGATGGAAGGATAGTGGGTAGACCTCAAGGCAGCTTGCTTTGAGGTTTACCCACTATACCTCAGTCAGAGCCAATCAGAGTTCGGCGTCGTTCTGACGTCACCAGAGTCCCTGCAAAAGAAGCAGACGAACTTTCGCTTCGCATAGGCCACATGAATAAATGATCCATTTCTGCTTTTCTTGACAAAATATGGTAATGCTCTCGAGGACGGTAATCGCCTGGGCATCATACAACGTAAATAGTTTAAAATCTTGATATTTCCTCCAAGACGTTTTATTCCACGGAATGACACAGAAAGTGGGTCGTGGTCTTGCGCTCGTTAGGCAGGTATACTCCGCTTCATTTTAAGTAGGACCGAAGCGGATGCTATAACCCGATGGAGCCCATAAAACAGCGCTAAAAGTGCATAGTCACGGCTCTAATCGCCTTTGGGCGCCTGCCATCTCCGAGTAAAGAAACCAACCACGCACAGCGAAAGCGGGACATTCAGCGTTTTCAACTACGGTCCAGAGGCCGTGCTTGCGAACGTCTATGTAGTTCTCTCACGCCATGTCTATGTCCTTGCCGTTAAGCCATCTGCTACCAACCAAGCTGAGAAAGCGTTAAAAACTTCTGTCGTCCCATAAAAAAAAGAAAAAAAAAGAAAAAAACGTTATCGGCTTGTTATGAACAGGTCCTCCAACGGAGCCGTCGACACGATCATTCACGAACATGCACACTCAGACGTAATTACGCAACCGTGAAACATGCGGCACTCGCTAACCGCTGTCAGACGAAACCGAGCCCACCAAATCTTCCGGTTTTTACGCTGGCCATTTTGATTCAGTCCACAGGGAGATTCAAATCAACATCCACAGTCGCGGGCAGAGTTATCAATGAAACCTCTCTAAAAAAAAATCATTAAAGAAAAAGATTTTCGCTGCCGCCGTTTCACCCGCCGTACGCTCAGAAGCATGTCGCTGCCGCACTGGGTGTCCTGGTATTATCACCCCAAACTGACACCAGTTCACAATCAAGAAAGCGGATACATTGCTGTAGAAAAAGCCTTGACTTTATGCTGCAACGGAAACCCAGCCTTGCCCCGGGTATTTTTTTTTTTTAATTTTTCTTGCTTTTCTCGAAAGATGAAGGGTGGGATCCAGCCCGTCACGTGACGTCGGTCTATCGTCTGCATCGGACGTGAAAAATAAAACCTTGCCTGGCCAATGGCTACGCGGGGTCCGGACCCTACTTAAGCGGGCCCAGGAAGACGATGCCTTCAGTGCTCACTCCTTGGGGAATGGGAGCGAGTTGCTAAGGAACTGCATCGTCATGAGAGTCCCCTACGTTCTGCCCGTCCTGTTCCTTGCCGCCGCTTCGGGTAAGTCGGACCCCTGCCTAAAGAGTTCGCTTTGCCTTTTCGCGTTTCTGATAGGTGTGTCATAAAGAGTTTCAAACTGCCATTATGTTTCAAGTAACGGAATTATGAGGTATCCATAATCGAAGCCAACTACTTCTTCTCATAGCAAAACCCCGAGACTGCGGGTAAGCAAAGGTCCACAAACACAGAAAGTTTCAACTTTTAATCTCGGGCTTTTTGTTATTGCTAGCCTTCGCCGCCTTGTCTGCGCCATGACTTTCTGTTTATTACTTTTCTTCACTTATTGTACGGGTGTCCCGGAGAAGAATTTAGTGTTTTTTTTTTATTCTTGCAACAAAAGACACTGCACATCGCCCAACTCTCAATCTCCGTCCAAATGTAGGGTTAGCGGTCCACACCGCATCTCAAGATTTAAAAAAGGAACGGTTAACTCGATCAAAAGTTAAAGGCACTTTTTTTTACATTTTTACTGGTAAAAATGATGGCCAACGAAGCGACCCGATACACGGGGCTGAGTGGTCCGAACAACCTGGAAGGGACCCCATTTTCCCGTTGCGAATTACAGGGAGTCATTTACAACTTTTGAATAAAATAGCGATTGGTTTTGAAAGTTTGGTATCTCGTCAGAACTGCTAGCGCTACTTGTGGCTACAAACTAAGTGCTTAGTGATTTTTTTTTTGTGCGTTAAAAAAAATTGGAGGGGGGGTCACGTTTTACATGACAGGGTGTAGAAGGTTTCGTACTTATTTAGGAAGTGTACGAAAGGAAATCTCAACTTCTGGGGATTGCTGCAATCAAAATAGTTAGTTCGGTAGAAGCCATATATGTTAAAGAAGTACCTTATATGTTAAAGCCATATATGTTAAAGTACATGGGGCCGTGCTACATTACGGATACGGCATGTAGCACAGCCCCAGGGTCAGGGATGTTTCTGCACTAGTTCATTCATGCCAGAAAATGTGTTCGAAATATGTTTTGTAACCGTTTAAGCTGCCTGAGTGCAAACATCATAAAGGTGTCAGTTTGATGGTCCTGCTTTTGGGCAGCTTCCGTTGACTTTTTAAATCTTTTTGAAAGGCGCTATTCGCACAATCTTTACTGAAATATGCAAGAAACAAATGTTAGATTCCACCTCCCTATTCCCATTGCCGAGTTATTATTCCACGCGACGCTTTGCCTTCTTAACAAAATAGTTTCATGGTAGTATTATTAATTACATAAAAAATTTAAAACTCGGCTGGTTTCCACCCTTAATTGCGACTACTTACGCCCGGAGAGTCTAGAAACCGGTTCTTAAGCGTCTTGAGACTGCTTTACGATCGCCAGGGCAGCAGTCGTAAGAAGTCCCAAGAGGCTTTATACGGGTTTTTAGCCCCTTCAGTCGTAAGTATCCGCAAGTGTGTAGACCAACCTCAGAAATAATTAAAAATGCGACTGTCGGGACCTTTAACGTCAGCCCTCATTTCAAAGTTAACACTCTTCTTTGGGACCATGCAGCCTTCGAAGTGGGCAAGGACTATGTGTACCACTACAACGGAAAGATGCAAGTCTACAACCCGGAGCAGCCCCTGCAGTCCTCGGGTTTCGCCTTCCGAAGCAAGGTCGTCGCCCAGCCCAGGCCCGACCACACGCACTTCAAGGTAAGGCATCTTCCACGGATAAAAAAGACCACATGACCAGTACTCATGTGCCAATATAGACCAACACGCTGCTTACGAACAAGCCCGTGTTTGCCCCCACCAAGTGTAGACATTGCGCGTGCGCAGAAAGCACAAACGCGTAAAATAAAGCGTCTGCGCAAACGCCTAAAAAAATAATTCGTAAAAAAAATATTGACCTGGACAGGAAGTGCGCCAAGGAGAACCAAATGATGTCGCCACTGAGTTGGTTGCCAAACAAAAAAGGGGCGAACAGCTCAGGGACAAAGACGACCCCTTTCCATCGCGGTGAGCCGAAGGGAGCGGTGAAACCACTTCCTATGAGCATAACGCAGGCCCCAAAATGTGGATTCAGATATCTATGAGAGGTAAATCAATAAAATATTAAAAAAGTTTTTCCAAAATATTAAAAAGAGGAAATTCACTTCTTACTAACAAACAATATGCGTTCTTCCTGTGTGTTCTTTCCCGAAAAAGTCCGATGGCATTTATTCAAAGTTGTTGTTCAGTGAATACATAATTTCTGAAACGAATCAGAACCTGGACGCCCTTTTAGTGATAAATGTTTCGAAACGATACTTTATAGGGACCAAAAAACTAATATTGTGACAGCGGAAGCGTCTTGAAAATACTGGCAGAAACAGGCCATAACATTGCTGAGATACCACTGTTAATTTACTACGCGCCCGAATCCGCATATTAGCAACATTAAGCTATCGTTGTAGATTTTTTTTTTTTTTTGCAAGTGGTTGCAAACATCTCACGAATACGCCTTCAATGTTTTGCAAGCACATCCCTTCCACCCGTGAAAAGATCACGCGCATAACCGCATGGAACTCATGACCCTTAATACGGTTACAGATAATCGACTTTGAGGTGGACAGTTTCAACGGGGATCATGTTCATGTCGGTGAACACGAGTTCAACTACCACTCCACGGAGGCACTGAAGCAATTCATCGAGAGGCCCTTCGCCGGCAAGTTCTCCGAAGGAAAGGTAAGCCAAGCACAGACTCATCAATTCCCTGAAAACATCTTGTTTTACGAGACGAATGAAAAAGAAACAATTTAAAATTCGCGATGGCGTTCGTACCCACAGCGGATTTGTACTGCACTCTTACACATCTTCACCTTCGCTGTTTATCCACCTTTGCTTGAAAACGCTGATTCTGATAAAAGGCGTCTAGCCACCGTGTCAAAGTAATCTTGTTAATCGACGTTTTCACGGAAACCGTTGTAATCAAGTACAAACGTATAAGCGAAAATGACGAAAGGAAAATGCTTAGAAAAACATCGACGGTAAAAGGGGGGCAACATAATCTCCCTCTGCAGATCGAAATATAATGCCTATGGCCAATTGTTTTGATGGCAGAGAACACTCGTAACATCCTTAACATATAGAAAAGATTTTGTACTTTTTATTTTGATGAAAACAACTAAGAGCTTCGGGGTTCCCTTAACTTCCCTGTATTATCACAGTGCCGGCTTTTCCTCTCCGATCATTTCTTGATATTTTATATCAATATCTTTTGATTTTTTGTTGTTCACCTTTTCCAAAATCTTCCCCTTTTTTGACCCGTCATTACATTTTTTTTTGTGACATCCAAGAGTTTTTAGCGTCTCTAGAAAAAGCCTTAAGAAACACATTTTCCAATCGTTCCATTATGTTAATATTCTTGTCTTTGGTCATCGAACTGTATAAAACAGCTGCAATATGCCGTAAAATGCATATAGTTGCAATGATCGTCGCATGCAGCTCGAAGAAGCTGAGCTGAGCAAGAGCGAACCTAAGTGGGCCAGGAACCTCAAGAAGGGAGTCCTCAGCATTTTCCAGCTGGACTTGGTCAAGGGTCGCCACGACCACCCCCACGCCAAGCAGTTCCACGTGAGGGAGGTACGTACGGAACCCTCGCAGAAGACGTCTTTAAGAGAGAATCAACGTTCGCAACCTCCAGAGATGCACTGGGCTAAATGACAAACATCTTTGTGATTGCAATCTACAACCAAATGATTCCATACAGGGCCAACCAAGACGCACGATTAGGAATACTGTTGGGAGGTGGGAGATCCAAGGGGTTCATTTTTCACTGAATGTACGATGATTTCAGAAAAACCACATTTCTAAGCTACAATCTTTACCCCTGAAATCATGCTAAGCGACAGATGAACAGCGTGAATTCCCTAGTATTCTTCCGTAGTGTAAGGGCAAGCACGAAAGTCGCGCGTTTTCGCCAAATGTGAAAGCAGAAAAGCAAGTATCCGTACTACGCACAGTAAAACAACAGTATCTGCTTTGGCACTTTAGGCTTAAATTATGCTTTGTTTGCACAGCGAAACATTGAAGCGTTGGAATGTCCGGCTCTTGCCCTTCCTTGCATCCAGACAAAGTGCTCCTTTTTTGTTTCCTGTCTCTCCAACAATAATCTTTATAAAATTACGCGTAACTTTCCCATCAGATCTGAGTGCGCTCTTGTACCTATCTTTCGCAGGAAGGTCTCCACGGGAACTGCGACACACTCTACGTTGTCGCCGAGGAGGAAGGTCACCTCAAGGTCACCAAGATCAAGAATCTCGAGAAATGTGACAAGGAACACTACGCCGTTTATGGAAGGATCAAGGGGCATGAGTGCGTCGACTGCGAAGCCCAGGAGACTGTAAGCATTGCTGGACTGATCGCGTATGATCTGAAAGGTGGAATTGTGAGACTTGTTCATTCGTTGTCCAAATGATTAAGTCAGGCGCCAGTTGCCAGATCCCAATTCGTTTAGCTCAGACTGGGCAGATTTACTGCTAGCGTCACTCACAGCATAAGAAATAGAAGGCGTAGCTACTCATCCCGTTTCTTGCTTGGGCGAATGCCGTAATCTCTTTAGCAGTAAATGCCTTAATCTCGCCTAATCTTAGCCTTATCAGCGAATGCCGTAATCTACTTATCAGTAAATGCCCTATAAGCCGACATACACTCCTTGCTTTCGCCTTTTTCCCATCTCCTCCTTTCCTGAATCCTCTTAACTTTTTGCCTTGCTCCAACTTCGCTCCCCTGGCAGCTTAGGAGGGCTAGACATTAGTTAGCCCTCCTAGTTACAACATTAGTCCAACATTAGTTAACCTTGCACATTGTTGTTTTCACAGCTATGTGGTGAAACGAAACATTGTATGCGTATCTTGATCAAAGAATGATTAGATGTATGGATTGTGTCTTTTGAAACCAAACCGTACATTGAATTGAGATGACGATCGTAACAGCAACTGCTATCTTCAGCTTTCTAGGTTATTCTGTCTCAACTCACGTAATTAACGCTTTTTGTTTCGTTCTTATTCAGTCTGTTTTGAGACTTTTATATCGAAACATGACCAATGAGTCTAATCACTCATCTTGTTGTTCGCCAAAAAAATCTGCAATAATTCAACTTGTAATGCATCTCGCGACTCACTCATAAAAGCGCATACATCACGTTGTCCCTGTTTTCTGCCTTTGCAGCACCCTTTCGTAGCCACCTCTCAGGTCAAGTACAGACTCGACGGAACTCCAGAACACTACGTCATCAACCACGCCTGCGCCACCTCAGAGAATGTCTTCAGGCCCTTCGGTCAAGGGAAAACCTTCGTTGCCCAGCTCAAGTAAGAGGATTGGAGTTTACATGATGACCTCGCTTCTTCGGAAAAGAGAGCAGCACCGTTATTTTTTTTTAGTTTTCTACACATACCAAAATACCTTAGATTCTATTAATAGTAAATCTTGAAATGCAGAAATGCTTAAGTTGCAGAACTGTTTCGAGTTTCTCATTTACTGCAGTTTAAGAAACGACAATATCAGTTGGACAGCGATATTGAGACACGAAGTCTGATGAAACTGACTTGGCGTTAGCAGAAAAGATTTTGAACGCTTGAGTATTTACTTACTAGAATGTCGAGGTAGGTGGCGTAGACACCAGTACCGGCGTTTCTCGTATATTAAAATCCCGTATTTTATTGTGGAGCTTTTTTCCTAAAAGCTTCAGTGTGAAATCCCAGGTGGCCAGCAGGTTGAAAAATAAGCGGTGCTAATGCAGAGCCATAGAAAAATTACAAACATTGGATATGTAGCCGAACAATACCTGGAATGCCTTGGTTACGGATGTTGGCGGTGTTAAAACAAAATCACTTCGGTACCGGCCAGGCTGTCTTTACGTTGTGCACCCTTACATTCATAAACCTTTTGACTTCGTGGTTACTTATCGTCCAGGCACAGGTACTGTGCGCTTCATTGACAGCTTCTACTAGTTTATTCGTTTGAATATATACGAATTTTACTGAGCGCCTTCTTGTAGTAGTACACTGGCACTGTGACTTCTCTGTTAAATTGCCACCACTTTACTTAATGTCAGAAAATCTTAACTGGTCGTAGTCATGTCCCAATGTAGTGATCAGCTTGCATCTTCGGGCACTTCGCACTGTAAAAGGCAATGGAAATCCTGACACTGGGGCAATTTGTTAATGAAGATACGCAGAAAAAAGTGTGGATCTTTACTAAAACAGCAAGTGTCAAATAACACTTGGCCAGGGGCGCAGACACTTATGCAATGGTGCAAAGCACAGATAAGAACCTCAGTTGAGCAGTACCACCGAGTTCTTCCAGTAAGTGCTGCAGGTACCAGACAAGACGTGCTCCTATGTTGATAATCTTATCAACCATAAACGAACATGGTCAAAAGAGACAGTGGGTAATTATTTTCAAAGAGAAGAAAAGTTTTTCAGATCCGTCGCCGAACATCATGTTTACTTTTTTTCGCTTTCCTGTGTCGTCAATAAGCTTACCAAAAACGATACCTCAATCCTGTTATTGTCAAATGTTTTACCAACCACCTTTTTTTCACGCAGCCGTACCTTGGATTTGGAGGAGGTGCACGACGCCAACACCGACACTCAGCTTCCGGAGGACCTGGAGAAGGTGCACCACATCGCGCAGACATTCCCCGAGTCTGATGAGGTGGAAAGCCTGGAGGAACTGAAGCACGTCAACCGCTACGTGACCACCTTTGATCTCTCGACCGACAAAGACAAGGTAGGTGAACGCTTCAACCTCAAATTTACGACAGCCAGTGCGATGCGAAAGTTTTTCTGCTTCTTTTGTTGGGGTTGTGGAGACGTCAGAACGCTGAGCTCTGATTTGGTCTGATCAAACGATAGTGGGTAGACCTCAAGGCAGCTTGCTTTGAGGTGTGCCCACTATCCTTTCAATCGGAGCCAATCAGAGCTCGACGTAGTTCTGACGTCACCGTAACTTCTGCGCAAGAAGCAGACGACTTGCTCTATGCATTGTATTAAAAAAGACAGTAGACAACCATTACACTCAAGCGTTGCAGAGACGTTACTGGCGCACCATTCAAGAGACGCGGTGCTCTCAGCAGACATGACGACAGAATTGCCTGCGCACAATCCTCAAGCACGCTTGAGGCATGTTAGCTTCATACATATGGATATGCTTTGAACTAACGTTACTAGATTACCTCAGTTGTAAAACTCCCGCGGAAGGGGGCACCCCCTTCACACACTTCAGTCCGCCTCCCGTCGTTCGAAGCGCCATCTAGATTTTCATTTGCGAACTATGTTTTCCATAGACTACGGTGGAACGCCAACTAGACGCTGAGCTTCATAACTTACGTATCCCGTAGAATACACAGCAGTTACCAAAGCAGCCGTCCGGCGCGTCGAAGGACGGGAGGCGAGTCGTGGTGCGTGAGGGGTACTGCTCGTGCATGCAGCGTCTAGGAGCAGTTCCGTGACTGAGCTAATCTAATAACTTTGCTTCGAAGACAGCTGGAGACAGTTTTTGTATCGTCAGGAAGACGCTTCCGACAGTGCACCAGCAGGACGGCGGACTTTGATGTTGGAGAGGTGTAAAAGGGATGATCGGACTAGGTCCACTCGAACCTGGCAGCTCAATCTTAAGACACCAATTCAAGAGACAACATATATAGACATTGTTATAAACCCTAGAACCAAAGCCTATTTCTCCTTTTTTGTTGAGCACATCTGGTTAGACGTAAAATATATTTTTATAGCATAAAACGAGTCTTCAATTTAGGGTTCATTAAAAGGGCGTGGGTAGCCATCTAGCGTTTATGACATAAAGGTACTTATATGAAAGCCGAAATCATGACATGCCACGCCGTTCAGAAAAAAAAAAGGATCGATCAAAGTTCCCACGGCATCAAAATATAACTATTTGAAGCATCTTAAGACCGCATTTACCACGCTTCACACACATGTCCGCTTTGTCCCCAGTTCATCTCTGGTCTCAACCACCTTGCTGCATTGGAGTACGAAGATTCCGACATCAAGGACGTTCACAGCAAGGAAAGCGGTGGACTAAACTTCCTGATTTTGTTCGGCTCGCTTGCCTCCATGCCCTTTGAAGATATCGCCCACGTGTACGAGCAAGCCGTTGCCAATGCACCGGAAGCAAGTAAGAGTCAAGTCAGGTGGGTACATCACAAATTATATAGGTCGAAAGTCTGCAAGCTTTTATATAGTTTGAATGAATACAAAAACCATAACATGCCTACATTCATGTTTCATCCTGCTTCTTGATGATCAAAAAAAAAAAAAAGAGATGTTCCTCGTACGTGTTATGTCTATGGATGATCTTATAAAAAGTTGTATTTTGTACTACGTGAGGGGGGGTGGCGGGGGGTTTCAAGCCGATTGTGTTAACGCATCGTAGGTCGAACCACGTGGAGCAAACGCTCGCGCTACAGAACCCACGTACGCTCTGTTCATTGTCCTTCGATGTCCATTTCTATTTCGATGAGCTTCGCACCGGTGTGCGGTCATGTTTTTCTGCTACCGTGTGGTCACATTAAGCACTACAGGCTAGCAGCGATAATGCACTGGCTATATTTCTCAATTACACTGAAAACACCAGAGGTCCGTCGGCGATGACTAACCGTATCCCTGTTTAAACAATCACACAACACAATTATTTACGTAAACATCTTTGGTATGTGCAGAAAGGTGTTCCTGGACCTGCTCTCAGCTGTCGGAAACAACCCTCACGCAGCGTTCGGTCTGCAACTGGTCAAGGAAGACAAACTCACTGACGAAGAGGCTGAGCACTTCCTCGCCAAGCTGGCGCTAAACCTAAAGGAGAACAGCCCCGCTCTTCTGACCGAACTTGCCGTACGTGTAATCTTTACAGCAGCAATATTCTCGCAACCTTGCGCTTATTTTCTTAGGAGGAAGTACATTTCGAACTAACGAAGCGTGAGTGTCCCCACAAGTGAATTAAGATTATTGCAACGTGTTTTTAGGAAAGCTAGTTTCCTAAAAGCAAAACAAAGAATAGTGTTACACTTGTAGCACCTTGCTAGCCTCAAGTTCTGTACCCCATGAATAAAATATAATCTTGGTGCAAAAGCTTTGTTAAGGACATAAAGACGCCATCAATTTTAACATAAAGACGCCTCAATTTTTGTCCGGACATAAAGACGCCATCCAGAAACAGGAACTTTACGTCAAATTACATTTAAAAATATGTTATTGATGGTTTGCACGTGAAAGGGCAATCAAAGACGTGAGGCAAGTCGACTGTGAAAGATCCATGTTCTGTCCGAATCGCCCTAACACTCGAGCATGTCTACTCTGACACTTTTTATTCAATACTATGATTAGAGAATGTTACGACTCTATACTCAGTTTTTTTTGTGCTGCCTCCATGATTTCTGTATTTTTTTATTTTTATTATTGGTTTTAATTATAGCTGTTGTTTATATCTTTGCAGGAGGTGTGTGAGCACGTGAAGCCTAAACGACCAGTGTGGGTCAACTGCCAACTCGCTCTAAGTAGCCTCGCAGGCCAAGAGGGCTGCGTCCGTGCCAAGACTGACAAGGAACACGACGAGGGATTCTGCAAGCCCTCTATTGTTTCGCACTTCTTTAACGTGAGTGTTTCGAAGAAGACTATAAACGGTTTTCCATTGCTCTTCTCGCTCGCATGCTCGGCGCAAAGATTATTCCGAGCGCTTGCATCTTTCTGCCTGGCTTGTCTCATTCCGCCATTTCGCACGTGCCTCATCTCTCGCGCAAACCTTTTTTTTTTTTTTTTTTAGGTTTATGCATATTTTTTTTGTGTTTACTTGTGTACGTATTTTACCAGGGCGAAATGGCCGAATGAAATGGGGGCATTTTGCAAAATGGTAAAATTACTCATACTGACTATGCTCGAAGAGAAACATGATATGACCACATAAAGTTTTCTTTAAAGCAAAAGTGTGAGACAGAGTCGTTCTTCTCAAGCCATATGTCGTCAAAGCCAGGAAAGTCATCCTGCGTCAGCAGCAAGGTACAAGAAATATTATAAATCGTCACGCAAACTTACAACGACCCAGCAGGTCATTTCGCATACCTGAACGTATATCAACAGCCAGCGTAAACTGAGTCATTGCTATTCACACGCTACAAAGAACAGCTCCGTGCAGTGTAGTGCTTTTCCAGAAAAAAAAAAAAACTTCAGTAGAACGATGCCGTTTTCCCAAGTGCTTGTGACTGCTCACGATCGGCTGCGCGTGAGCAGGCAAAAGTGGCCTAAAAACCGGTTTTTGAGCCATTGCTCACAATTGAACTTACCCAAGTGTGTGACCTAGGCTCGATGCTTTAAGGAGGTGCTTTTCAATTACGCCATGCTAGATAGTACCATACCATGCTTCTTTTGCCGATAGGTACCCGCGGTGAGCTGGCGTATGCAAAGCTAAGATGTTTCTTTTTCCTCCAGTATGAGATTAAGCCAGAAGACAAGAAGGACCAGCCAGAATACAAGAGGACGGTGTACATGAAGGCTGCGGGCAACTTGGCCACCAGGGGCGCCGTGCACTACCTGGAGCGCTACGTTTCGGACACAAACCAGCCGGAGTACCGGAGGTCAGCCGCCCTCTGGGCAATGGTTCGGGCTGCTCCGCACCACCACGAACTGGTACTGTACCGTTGGTTTTGCTTACAGTTAGCGCTAAGCACACGGACACTCTTTGGTCTTCAATGCCATCTCCGAAAAACATAAAAATCAACTCTTCTAATATCGAATTCTATTGGCCGCCTTTGGCATCCCGTTTGTAACGGGTGTTGGCAAAACTTTAGATTATAGATCTGGACAGTTGGCCCCAGGTTTGTGACTGGGTGCAGCTCTACTATGATGGTGCTCCCCGGATGGCGAGGAAAGGTTACTTTCTCACTACGGCTTCAGCATATTTGTGAGGTTGATTAGACAATTCTTTATGAATAGATCTTTCGACACAAGAGTAAATAAAAGCCACGCTTAATAGGGGTTCTTATCAAAAGTGTATATTAACACAGGTAATTTCAGTGCAATTTGGAGCGGCTTCTCAATCTGACGGAGGACGAGCGCATGAGTTAAAGACTTTGAAACAAAAAAAAAAAAAAACAACAGAGAACCAGATAGCAAAATGTCGTCGGCAGGCCCAACAAGCATATCTTCTAAATCTGCCTGCCAAACGACCCCGATGTCGCAATCGAATATTTCATGCTTGAAAAAAAAAAGTCAGATGATCTGACATTAAAAAGCGCGTTGTCAATGCATCTTGACATTTAAATGAGAATGCTTTGAAACAGAGCTGCGATGTTCATTTCCCGAACTTCAACGCACTGCCCTCGACAAAACGAATGCAAGAACCGCTTTCTCCGCAGGTACGCGACGTCGCACTCCCAGTGTACAAAAACAAGAGCGAGACGGCCTACCTGCGTATCGGGGCATTTGTGAACGTCCTAATGACCAAACCCGACCTCTACCTGCTCAAGTACATCGGACACAACATCATCGACGACCCCAGCGACCAGCTGGCGTCCTACGTGACCAGCGCCTTCCGCAGCCTTGTGAAATCCAAGTACCCGTGCCACCAAGAACTGTAAGTCTATCGTTTGTAGCCAGCGAGAAAACGAGGACGTTAGGCCGTGTCTTCCGAATGCCAAGCCTCTGGCACACGCCTCATGCTTTCTGCCGTGCCTCGCCAGCGCGCGCCCACGCTCGAGGAGCGTTAGAAGCGGGACAGCTAAGGGAAACCCCTGTCATTCTCACTCGGGCAGTGACGAGAGTATTTTTCTATCGTGCGCTCTAAAGCAAATTAACATTTTTGTACGTAACTTACAAATATACTACAAATCTTACATACTTACAAATAGGCTTTGAATTGATTAAACCGGTGCCAGTTCTCCTAGGAAAAGTATACATTATTCCGATGTAAGCTCGGGAAGGTCGGTGATTCGTAATAGCAGCAAGAAAAACACAAAAAAGGCAAGGACAAAAAAAAAAGACGAACAGTTAGGAGACTCAGAGGGACAAACAAACAAGAACATCGCCTTGTTTCACCTTCTGTGTGTCTCCTCCTTTTCAGCCGTTGTTTTTTTCGCGCTGTTGCTGCTATCCAGGTACATTATTCATTCGGTTGCAGTAACCACAAAGAAACTTGCTAAAAGAAAGCTTTGCGTGCTCCGGGAGCCTTGCGTACTGTATATTGGGACAATCTTCTCACAGGGCTCAGCACCTTCGCTACGTCGTGCCCATGTGGAACGACGTAAGCCGGTTTGCCAAGCCGCTGGACCATACCAAATCGCAGGTCATCCTCTCTTCCGGCTACGACCGTACGTATAAAAAAACAGCTTTAAATGTTATGCTTACTAAATCACAAATAAAATATGTCAACCGAATCTCCTTTCTTTTGTCCCTCTACAGCCAAGTTCGACTACGGCGGATCCAGTGTCTTTGCCCAAGTACGGGCCGACGACAGCTACCTACCGAGAGAAGTGTATTTCAGCGCAAAGGACTATTTCCACGGCCGCTCCTTCGAGTCAGTTTCACTAAAGTTTGAGAGCTGGGGTCTGGACACGCTTCTGAACCACGTCGTGGGACCTCAGCCCGGATCCACCAAGAACCTGTGGAACGTCTTTGGGCGACGTCGCTTCACCAGGGATGCCTCGGCAAAGGACCTCCAGGAAGTTGAGGCTGCTGTAAGTTTATTTTAACTTTCACGTACGAAATAGATTATCATCCAAAGGACACGATGTTCACAGCGGGCACGATAACATAAGGATCTAACAGAAGCATGTCCGAGCCATGTTTCCTTCACAAATTTATATGCTTCTAACATTTCTGCAGACAGTTTTTGTGTTAGCAACGTGGCCATTATAGGAGGAAGAAACGTGCCTCAGAGAGGTCTCTGCAGACTGTCTTTCCTATGATGAATTAGCAGTGGGACTGGCCGCGGCTTTGGACTTGGTGGTGTATGTTTGCGCCATTATCATGCGACTTGAAATCAGCTAGAAATAGAACCACTATCCCATTTTCAAAAGTGTACTCGTCGCTTTTTGGTCTTGGATACGGTCAGCCATATCACTCATGGAAAGAACCAGATCCATCGCCTGAGCGGCAATTGAGCTGGGCCGCTTTCCAAAGCGGCGCGGCGCCTCCTCATCTCTGTGCGACGCTCCTATTGGTCCGAAGCACGTCAGCACGCGTAACCCTCTTTATCTCTCCGCCGCCGTGGTGAGACATTGAATCTCTCCCTCCTCACCTCCCAACTCTCCTCGCGACGTCGTGCATGGCGCTGACAAAAGGACGCACGGACTGACAACGGCGGGTTTTCGTGAATAGGGATTATTTAAGTACTCTGATTTTTACTTACCCACCAAAAAGTCCTTCACGTTCACGAGCCAAAGACACTCTCTACGGGAGCCTTTCAATGGGAACGAGACTTTCATTTTAGGAGGACGAAATTGTGCTTACTTCATATCAGCATATGTTCAGACACAGGCGACGCTACGAGATAATTCCGCAACTCAACCGGCGACAAACGCGCAAGTTACTGTGCCTTTTTTGTTTATGATTGGTCCAGTGATGACGGAAATAGTACAAAAAACATGACAAACACCATAATGATGCACTTTTGATGCTGTCTGATTGGTCCCATTACCTTGTAGCGTTCGTTGCGCCTGAACTTAAGCTGAAACGACGTATAGTTGCAGTTGGAAAGGTAGCAAACAAGAAAACAAATTTTCACTACCTTGGCGAAGAACACGATGATCATGACAATACGGCAGCTTATAGTTTCTGGTTTTATGTGCAGATGAAGAGAAAAGACACATGTCCGGCATAAAATAAACTGTTATGACAAATCACCCTTACTTGTTTGCCGGGACATTTCATGACCATAGGGTCGCCATACCGTATTGGAATTTGATGGGTCACGGCTGCTATACATGCTTCTAGCCTTGGCATCTTTCATCTTCCTCGCATATTTTGTTTTATTGATGTTGTACAGGAACCAGCAAAAATAAGCGATTTCACTTTTGTTCTGTTTGTGTAGCTTCCCATCACTGACCGGGATTATGACCATGTCTACGGCCGCCTGAGTCTCGATCTCTACGGTCATGCCTTCGACACCTGGGAATTCGACGAGAGCATTCTGCAGGAACTGAGCAAGGGAGAGGGAGAAGGTATGTTCTTGAATTTTCCTCATGTTTTTTTTTTTTTTCGGGAACAAAAAATTTCCGCAAATTAAAAACAAACCCCGATAGTTTTTTTTTTTTTGTGCTTTTTTTATAGCCTGGGTAGGGGTTAGAGGCAACCACGCATGGTGTGAAGTGAATAAACTGACAATTAAATTTTTCTAAAATAAAAAGTAATCGCTTGGTGAATGTTCGCACAAAGTAGTAGGTAATAGATATGCGTGAAATGGCGACAAATGCCAAAATGTTTATTGCCTTCCAAGTTGAACAAACAGTCTTTACTTTGAGCTTACCTTGATTCACGGCGTACAAGCTTTTCAGTATGGAAAACAAGCGCCATATTTTTCGTGCGACAGTACAGACGATGCATAACACATAAACATTAAGAACTCAAAACAAAAATTATTCCAAGAAGAATACAAATAGCCTTACAATGACAACGAAGGTTCTGTTTATGCTGTATTTCTTTAAGCAAGAAAGAAGAGTGTTTGATAGAAAATGTATTATCGATGTAAGGGTCCCCTGAAGGCTGATTCTAAACTATTTGATTCCTAAACAACTTGAGCGCCTGTGTCCCCTAGTCATAAACTTGCACGGAATGCTACGTTTTATTACAAAGCGGGCACTATACACGTAATTGATCTAAATTATATGGCACTCCTTTGCTTCTACCAGAGGCACCAGGCGACAAGCTGAAGAACCTGCTAGGCGAATCAAAGCGTAAGAAGGCCTTCATCCTCAGCAAGGACATCTGCATTATTGTACCCAGCGAACTTGGTGTTCCCGTATTCTACGACATCAAGCAAGTCGAATACATGTACATCAACCCCAAGAAGTTTGCCTTTGATCAAACGCAAGATGCCAAATTTGCCATGGACGTAGAAAGGCACTACGTGTAAGTCAATATTTTGTTCTAACTTCGCTCTTAAGTATTAATGATTCGACATCTTTCGAATGCTCCATTAATTTCTCAATATAACCTTAAACTCCACTTTTAAAAAAAGATTTGAAAATCGATGGAGCAAATTTTATCAAATATTAAAGCACTTTATGAAGAGGGCGTTATCAAGCTTTCTAAAACATTTGGTGTTACTTTATTTAAACTACGACCCAATTAAACGGCCTTATATGGCACTGTGGTGGTAGCTAACATGTATAAACAAATAAGTGTTCCTCGAGATATTTATCGAACCCCCATTTGTAAAGAATGCACGCCGAATGCAATATCTTTGCTCTGAGGGAGGCTTTTCAAGCTGCATTCAGGTTCATGAAGCTCATTCGCTTTGTACGAGTAGTTTACATCACTCGTCTCACACGCTCATAAGGCCTCACACGAAACTGCGACGGAAGAGGGCCAAAACTTGCTTCGAAGGCTTCAAATCGGCACTCCGTCATGATATCGCAGTAAAGAGTGCATTAAGGAAAACATCACAGCACTCGATATAAACTAAAGCTACTGTCAGTCCTACAAAGAACGTGTCAGAAGGATGTGTCCTGGTCCAAGCGATTCATGCTCAAGCGAGTTCGATATACTTAGACCCAGTAAATACATATAGCCTTATTTTTAACAATTTACCAGCGGTTTTCGTTTTTATTAGTATTCAATATTTCTGGTATGCACCTTGGGTACTGAACTCGCCCTTATAAAATTCCGATCTATTTTATGCCTCCAGACACGAAAGCCGTGCCTTCAGCATGTTCGGTGTCGCTCTCACCTTCAACAAGACGTCCTTGGGAACGGGCTCCGATAGTCAGACCATCATAAATCTGCCGATCGACCTGAAAATTACCCTGGATCCTATTCACAAGAAGCTGAGCATGAAGCGCCCGCTGAGCCTGCCCTGGAACGTCCTGAACCACCACTTCCGCCCGTTTACCTTTGTCATGTCCTACGACATAAACGAAGATGTTACCACAGCCGAAACCAAGATGACCCAGGCTATGTACCCTCTCTACAACAAGGAAGAACTTACCGAGGTAAATTCCCTTCTCTCGGCAACAATTATAATGTGGTTCAGATCTTCTGCAAAATAGGAATAACTTTTTTGCTTTCTCGTTTCCAACAATACCGACTGAGTTTTACAATCCCAATCCTACACAGCTTGGAAAAATATAGCCTAGAAGAAAACAGAGCACTACTTCATTTTCTGAATAAGTACTAAGACTTAACTATATCATAGCCCAAACAGACTGCATAGCAGCTCCAATCTAATGCCCCGACTTTGTTTTCTTGCAGTTTGATCGTAACTACTTCGGCGAGGTGTTGGGCTATGGCCTGAACGTGAAGGGAAGCCTCCTCAGCAAGGGGCTCAAGAAGGGACTGCACGACTACTGGTACGAGAGCGATGACCGCCAGAAGTTCTACTATGCCACTCTAAACCCTGAGTGGCACCCACGTGAACTGCAGTTCACCGTCGTTCCAGCTGCACAAGATGCCACAACTGAGGTAAGATCTTATCCTTAATATTACATTTACTGAGGTGACAAGCTGTTGGTTTGCAGGGATAAATGAGTTTCGAACGATGCAAAGTATCTATCAATTAAAACTCAAGTTTTGAATTGAATTGACGTTTTTAGGTTGCATAATCCAGCGCTTTTAACACAAAACTCTGCTTGGTCATCCACCCTGTTGAACACCGTATAACTGTTTCGTTTTAACACGATGAAAACTATTAACTTAAATATAAATTATTGAACGACATTCTTGTCTTGGCTTTACCGTTACATTAAATAACTCCTCTTCTGTCTTCGCGATTTGTAGAACCGAACGAATAAGCAGAGCTATTACCACTACAAGTTTAGACTTCCGAGATTCGGAAATAAATTTACAATATAAAACCGCCGACGGCGCTAATCATTCGTTATGAACAACACAAAACACAAAGCAACGCCGGCCAGAAAAAAACGCTCATACATTAGAAAATGGTTAGAACCCATAACGAGCCTATTATCTTTGATATACGCACCGTTTACAAAAACAAACACGTTAAAGCATAATATATATTTTTTCCAATTTCAATGAACAGAAAGAGGTATATCTTAAATATTTCACTGCACACTTTAAATACCTACCTGTACTTCTAATATATTTTAGTATAATTTCTGTTTAGCGATGTGTTGTAACCTTCGAAAAGCTCTGCTATTCTCGTAGGCCCAGTCGGCCGCTAATGTGCACATACGCTAATTAAATTATTCCTTATAGTAATAAAACATAAAAAATAACGACTTTAAGTCTGAACTTGTAAGAACACTTTATGTTTCACGAAAATGCCAAATTAGCGCAAATTTACCGTAATGGCTTTTGTAAACTACAATCCACAAGGTATTGAAGGAACCAGAAAACAAACTACTCTAGTTGCACTCTTCTGTGCTCATACATTGGTCAGAAAAGCACACGTCCGGAGGCATAAAAGCATCAGCATGATATACCGTACACTTATTTTCTTGAACCCTACAGGTAGAGGTCGATCTCGGCTACAAGTTCCTCGAGCCCGATGACCCACGGGAGAGTCACTTCGAAGCTCACGACAACGTCGGCGACGACGCTGAGGTTCCGTCCACTCACGTGCTGAACCTCGACTACACTCTGAAGGGCACCAAGGAACGCAAGGTGTCCGCGGAACTGAGATACTCCTTCACCAAGGACCTCCTCAAGCACAAAGTACAGCTCTTCTATGACCGAACACCATTCCACCCGAAGGAGCAAGACCACACGAAGGTACCCGAAGCCTCTAACCAGAAGCCCGAGAAGGTGTCCCTTACACTAATGTGTTTTCGTAGGTCTGCCTGGATGTCATATCGAAGTTCCCAGAGCCCGACTGGGAAAGGCTGAGTAACCTCGCCGTTTTCCATGAGGGCAAGGACATTGAATCTCAGCTGAACCTCCACTACGGAAGCAACTGTGTAGACCAGTCTAGCGTGAGTGTCTACCGCCTCTGAAACATGAATACTATTACCAATGTCGGAACAACCTTAAGGGTTGGTCAGTGCATTACTCGCACGCTGAGGCACTATGCATTCAATTGTCTGTTCTCAGCTTTCAGATAGGATGGTACCGTGGTGTAAGAATAACGCTCCCCACTTCCAGGATGATTTTCAAAACAATTAAAATACATAACGCGTCACGGACCTTAACCCGGTACCACTGTTTTACATCAATCATCCTAACGAAGTCCAATTTTATAGACCCCTGGTCGTCCCTATCAGCCTTGAAGGTTGCGAATTGTCCGCCGCAAGCTAAGGAGAGCATGACCTGCTGTGCTCACATAAACCAAAGCTCCATTCAATGTCGAATTCACCGAGAGGTGTTTTGCATTCGGAAGAAGTTGTTTTCAAGAGTGCCACTTCTGACAAAAGGTCGATCGCGGATGTTCTTTCCTCCCCGTGATGCTAGAAGATTGGCGTGTTCGTACTGAGCGTCGTGGTGACGTCACTTTCCTCTAGGAATTCGAGGACAGAGCCTCTCTTGCAGCTTTCAGGTCGATATAATCTAGAGTCATAGACAACCTAAGTGTCACTTGATCGCTCCACATCCAATGAAACTACGCTATCAGTCGATATGAACGTCGAAGAGCCAATCAGGCAACAAGAAGCGTGAAGGTAAAAAGTCACGCCCCGCATCTCCTAAGCTGTCACTTATTATTTAAGCTTGCCAAACCATGGTAGACATTTTAGTGCACCCAGTGCTCAGCGGATTGGATAACATTGCAAGCTACCTTACTGCTGCTCCCTCATATCCTTCAAAATGTCCCCGGGTAACTCAGCATAGCAAAATAGAGTACTTTAAAAACCTCAAGTTTTCAATCTTTATTTCAGTTATTCGTTTTTTTTTTATTATTATTATTTTTTTTTTTTTTTTTTTTTTTTTGCAGATTACTTTTAAGGGAAAGTATACGCACACGGACGACGAGGAGAAGCAGATTCGAGAGAACGCAGAAGGCAAGCCGCTGGGAATCAACCGAATGAAGAAGTACACCCTGCGTCGGCCGTACAAAAAGTGCACCGAGCACCAGAAGCGGGGCGTTCCCCTAAACTTTGAGTGCATGAAGTACCTGTACTACACCAGTCGCCTGGGTAAATTGACAACGGACGTCGAGTACAAGAACCTCAAGCCGGTGAGTATTGTGTTTTACTGCTATTAATCTCGGATGCGAAATGGAGATGGGGTAGCTTGAAGGGGCGCATCCTTTAGTGTATGGATTCGAATCTCAGCATTTGGACAGCAGAGAAAAGAAAGCTGACCGAAAATACAGGACGTCTTTATTGCACATGTGCCGCACCGTCTTCGGCGTAAAATGCGTTTATCTGAACTAGCGTTTATTGAAAGCTTTCCTGAAATGATGAGTTGGTGCATTGCCTGAAATTAATTTCTCGTACTTATTCTTTCAGAGTTGAGTAGCACGGGATTGCATTAAACAAAACAAATGTTGTTGTATTTTTTCTTAAAAGTTTCTACGTCTATTCCTTTTGTAAACTTATCGGTTTTTTTGTTTGTGTTTTGTTTGTTGTTTGTTTGTTTTCTGGTTTAAGATACAGAACCATAAAAATTAATTTATTTTGCCGTTTGGGAAGCCAACTCCGTGTAAAAAGATACCTGAGCTGTTTTAGACACTAGAAGAGATTACTGGCGTAATCTCTTCTGCAGTACATCAACTAAAACGTAATGTGAAAAGAGCTGGAATCTCACATTCTTCTCGTTAACCTGCTAAGCTCACTTGCAAAGTCCGTACAAATAGCAATAGCGCACTTATGACACGAGCTACCGGTAAATTGTCGTCACTCAGAGGGAGACGCGTACATCATCAATAAAAATGTTTTTGACGTTTGCATTTGATAGGTTTATATGACGCCACGTACTCACTTAAACATGGACATTCGATATACATCTGTCTCGTTGGGAGGAATAATTAAGAAAGGTAAACGTCTAACGAAACCCTAATTGGGAACTCAACGTTTCTTCGGGGTGACTGTGGCGACGACTGTTCCGTTTCGGCTGTTGTGTGGTTACCACCTCCTCTTTCAACGTAGACTGTATCACTTTCAGCTGTTCCCCATGCTGCTGAAGTACTACAAGAAGGTCCACAAGGAGGGCGGTTTCCTAAGCACCCTCGCGTCCCACGTCCACGGACCAACCGGAAAGCTCCACGTCGTCTCTCAAGTGCCTCCGGTTGAGAAGTACTCGGACATTGTTGTGACCACCGAGGACGGTCACTCCTTCCACCATGACCACGTTCCCATCTACAGCCACTTGCTCGAGCCTAGGATTTTCTCTGTGCTGGGATACTCGAACATGGTTAACTACATCTCCTACTACAAACAGAGTAAGTTACTTTCTATGCAGCTACCTTTAGATGACCAGTCATTAGTATCGGCCACATTCTGCAATTGTGAGAGACATTTCATTTAATTTATTTACACCTTAAGGGCCCGTGAAGGGCATTACATAAAGGGGGGGGGGTATTCAAGATATATACAATACAGAAAACGCAAATACATAAAAAAAACACAAAAGGAAACTAATAAGCGTAACTCATTTAACGCACTCAGGACTGCTCATAATTACGGAAATCATAAAACTAGTAAGAATATAAATAAAGTTTAATACAAGGTAGAAAATGATTCGGGTCCGGAGTGGTGACAATGAATGATGGGAGGTTATTCCAGTTGCTGACGGCCTGACGTAGGAATGATCGATTAAATGCGTTCGTCGAGCCCGAAATACGTTTGATGGGGCGTGTGTTGTTAAAGCGGGATGATGTTCGGTCGGGGGTGATAGCAACTCATTTTTAAGGTCCGGAATGTGGTAGTATAGTTTATGAAGAGTGCAGAGCTGAGAGACTTTCCTGAGGAGCTGCAAAGAGGACATGGTTAGTTGGCTTTTTAAGAGTGAAACACTGAATGAGGGATCATAGGTAGACAGGATGAATCGGGCAGCCCTGTTTTGATCTGCTTCGAGATTGTTAATTAGGTAAATTTGATGGGGGGATTCCAGATGGTAGCGGCATATTCTAATTTAAGTCTGACGGAGGTGTCGTACGCCAGCTTGCGGACAATGGGAGGTGCAGATCGCAGGCTACGTCTTATTAGTCCAAGGGTTTTTGATGAGTCAGCAGTGATGGCTTCAATGTGATTATTCCAGGAGAGGTTTGGTGTTAGCCTTACACCAAGATATTTATACATAGTAACCGTCTTAATTAAATTAAATAAATACTAGACAAAATCACGAACTACAAAGTTTGTATTACGGTGTAAGCTACCATCTTCATTGTTGACCTTACCTTGTGGCTAACCGAAGCAAACGCATCAAGCTGCTACGCTCCACCCTAAAACAATGTTGACCTTATTGACTCAGGCATTTGGGGTAAACAATTCAGACTGTCTTCGACGCAACAGCCAGAACCAAAAGAAAAGATAGATTATAATCTGTTTGAACGTATTTACACGATTAGCACAAATACTGAATATAAAGAAGATGGGATAACCAAACATCTATCTATAATGATTTTCACATTCTGTTCCATCCTTCCTGATTTTTTTTCTTGTTCAACTTTTATCGAAAATATTCAGCGAGTGTGTTCTGCCGAAAACTCGCAAAACATATCAAGTAATGTGTGGCATTAGACATGACGTTACATACTTTACATCATGCACCCCTGAAAAGCACAAAGGAGACATGACAAAGTAGAAGTACGATGAAGAAGTGACGAAATAAATCTTCAGTATCGTTTCTATCATGTGGTTTAGAAGATGGCTCGTGACAATTAAGAAAGATATAATATCGGATTGTTATAAAAAAGAGGATCGAAAATTATCACAAATGCAAGCATATATCGAGACTATTGACCTGGGACGCTGTTCAAATAATAGGAATCGAGGTGCAGTACGTTTTAAACCCCAGGTATCTTCAAACCTCGAAAAAACGCCCCTTCACTAGACATTGCCCACCCAAAATGCTCCTCTTCATTCCTTTACCAGAGGGTGGGGGCTCATACGGGAGTTAACACCCAAAATTTTTCACTTCATTCCTCCACCAGAGAGTGGGGGTTCATACGGAAGTTTAGGGTACGCATATTTTAGCTCTCTATGGACTCCTATACAACCGACTTTTCATTTTTTTCGCCGATAGAACATTGCGATCTTCAAGGCAAGAGCCTCCGAACCTTCGACAACGTCGTCGTGAACCTTCCCGAGACTGACTGCTTCAAGGTGGTTGCCAAGGACTGCTCTCCCAACAAGAGGTTCACGGTTCTGGCACGAGCTACCGGAAACGCCGCACTCCCCAAGGTATAACCCTTCCATTCGATCTGAGAAAATAGTGAAAACTCGGTCTTTTCTTCTTCCAAAACCGTATCGACTAATTTTAGGAAGAAGCAAAGCTTGCGATCGAGGAGTTTCGAAAAACAGCCCTACGAGGCTCGGGTGCGCATCAACCGGATCGGCAGGCAAGGACAATCAGTTGGCGATGAAAGCAACTCCCCTAACCGAATTAATCACACGCGCATCTTAATTTTCACGCTACTGCGGTCAGTTGGCGATCGCTAGCTATCATTAAATAAGCTACGCTTTACACTATCGTCACCTTCTTTTTATAAATCACCGTTGCCCTGAAGGCTCATCTGATATCAGAGGAAGGTCGTTTCCGTCCATCAGGAACTCTCAAACAGTTTTGCTACGGAGCAAACCGATATCGTATAAGCCTACTTAGACTCCCTCTAAAGCTCAACGTGTCGCGTTTTTAAATCGTAAGTACCGCTATGGCATCCGCTTTGCACAAACTGGTGGCTCCCAAAGACTATTGGAGATCAAAGTGTCGATGCGCTGAATTAAGCCTACTTAGTGGCTCTAGCTAGTTAAACAGAGTTTGACTGCCAACACGGTGAAAGAGTGTCATCTTCTCGACGCGTCATCCGCACTCATGGACAACCTATGTGAAACATTGTCCAACTGGAATTTCTCTCCTTACGTGAACATTGCTGTGAACCGTTCGGGTTCGCATTCCGGTTTGCCATCTTTCTTTACTCTTTTTTTTTACGTAAACGCAAATAGGTGTCGGTCAGCCCTTGTCCTCAGTTGCTCCTTTACTCCACTGCATTGTTAAAGATATTGTTGATATGGTTGTTTAAGTTGCAATTGTTTTTCTTACTTTCTTTTTCAGTACCAACGTTTAAACTCAAATCCTGGCTGAATCCTCAAGACAGAGTTATTCAAAACCCCTCTCTTTATGATGCTATCGCAGGCGTTGAAGGCCTTCATCCAGTCAACCAAGGTCGAGCTCCTGCCAGTTTCCGCCGATTCTGGACTGGTGCTCCGCGTCGACGGCAACAAGGTGGATCTGACGCCGGGAGTACCTTACAGCCACACCGCGCACGATGTCGAGCTCTTCACGGTCACGCAGCACAACAAGTACTTTGAAGTGATGTCGCAGCCTTACGGGGTCTTCATTGGCTTCGACGGGAACGTGCTCTTTGTGCAGGTGAGGAAACAAGAACAATACGCCGCATCCAAGATAGAATTTATCCCTCTCATTGACCTTCTTGTTTGTTTGTGTCTTGTAATAAGCACCATGTCGGTTACTCGAAGGTGAATTACACAAAAGTGCTTCACGAAAAGAGCACTACAGATATTATTAAGACTCTGTTGATTCTACTCCAAATAACAAAACCAGATCATTACCACCCGATGAGTCAGACTCCAAGCCCCACTCGGCCAGAAAAAAATTAATCAGCGACCACAATATGTTGCAGGACCTTCATTCGATCATCAATTATAGTCAAAGATAACTTTAACAAACGTAGGGCGTACAGAGAACCAAGTGTCTTATTATTGCTCGTGGGCCAATCAGATTGCAGCACTAGCTGATAAAAATGCCGAGCAACCAATCACCACGCAAGAAGCGTGGACACAATAAGACACGCCTCTCGTTTCTTCATCTGTCAGCGAGTAGAGCTGGTTATAATAGTGCACGTTACGGATCCATTTCACACTGAAAAGCTAAGGTTACCGCGGATATACCTTTTTGAGTTAATCCCAGGAATCAGTACCCATGGTCTCACAGTACCCCATGTGTTTTTCTCTCTGCTTTCAGACCGCCAACTTCTACCGCGGCAAGCTGTGCGGTCTTTGCGGCGACTACAACTACGACCGGCAGCACGAGCTCGTGGGCCCCAACCTCCACCACTACAACGACACCCTGGAGTTCGCCAAGAGCTACGTCGTTCCCGCGTCCGACTGCACCGCGCCTTGAGCACCGTCTTGCGTCAACATCGTCGTTCAACCTTATTTCTGCCGCTCCTTGCGAGCCGGTATTTTCATTCATTAGTAACGAGATGATGTGAAAGTGCAAGTGTCGTGTCAAGACTGTAGTTGTTAGAATAATGGCAAAGCCCCGAGAGCCTCGAGACAACGGGATGACGGTTTGTGTGAACGTTTGCAATGCCATGGGCGCTTGTTCGACATGAGAAAAACAAATAAATACATGAAGCAGAATACGTGTGTCTGTAGTTCTTGTTGACAATAGATAACATATGGTATACCCTGGTCTTACGGGCAAGTCGAAAACAGGCAATACGAAGGTGTTTATCAAATCGCCGAATCAAATTGAGATTGTGACTCTTGTACGCCGATCTCTAAAGGACTTAGTTATAAAGGCCCTCAAAATAACACGCCGGCCGGAATCATACATGCTGTCGTCGTAGAGTAAAGAGATTTGTTAAAGAAGCATTGAGGCACAGCACGAAGTTTCGTTAACTACTTTACATTGAACCTCTTTTTACCGTTTTATCTATATAAATGGAGCCGAGAAAGGATATGTTTGGACTTTTTTCTGAATGTTTGTTTTCTCCGTTAATAAAGATTAAAAAAAAAATAAGAAAATAGTTTTGAAACTTGTCACGGTCTGTACTCTCATGGTGCCTACTCTTCAAGTATACTGCTATCACTCTAAGAAATGACTGCACGTCTACTTAACTGCAAAACACTCAAAGAGCCAGTCATTACGATTTAGGAAATCAGCTCAGCGAATGAGGCGGAACAACCATTTCGACGTAAAAATGAAGTCTGCACTGTGGCATCACGCAATGCAAAGCGTCATGCTTGCATTGCGCAATGTCACAGCGCAGACTTAATTTTGAGCTCAGAACAGATGCTCCGCCCCTCATCATTCGCTGAGCTGATTTTGTAGATAGAAAAGATTGTCTCTTCGAGTGATTGCGGGTAAGTAGACGCGCAGGCATTTCTTAGAGTGTAGTCCTTATGACATAATGGGTGATATCAAGGAGACGCCAGGCTCTTTAAATCGACCGCAAAATTTGGTCTCTTAACCTCTCGCGTTCCGATTTTGTACAGCGTTGGCCACAGATGGTGCATTTTTTCTATAAAATCCGCAAAGAGCGAGCTTACCTGAGGAAAAAGTAAAAAAAAGGAAAAGGCTTAGCTTCTATGGAAACGCAGAGAAGCCACTTGTCTTCAAACCAGAGGGTGCCCCATGGTTTGAAGACCGGTGGCCTGGCAGGCTTTCTGAAGGCAAATGATTTGTGACGACCAACTTATAGCAGTGCCGTGCACCTTGAACGAGCCAATGGTACTTGATACCCTACGCTCACATTTCACACAGCGAGCGCGAACGGCCAAATACAAGCACAGTGGGTCTTCGCTTGATTGCTACTCCGTTTCTCTGCTTACTGCGAGGATATGCGCACTGACGTTCGACCTGACCTGCATGCAGTTGCTCTCTCTTGCAACTGTATGCAGGTCACATAAATAAGCTAATAGCAGGATAGAGTGTAGTGACAACAGTTACTCACCTCGGGAATGGCGAAAAAAGCGGCTTGGCATCCGTCGATGCCCGTATCAAAAATAATCAAATATACGCAAAAGAAGGAATTACATACAGAAACTGCAGCACGTAGAACGGAACAAGTACTCTTACCATCAAGAAAAATGCACTTGAACCGATAAAACCGAGGTAATTGACGCTAAATTAACTATAAAAATTAAGAAGACAATCACGCCGTGGTAAGGTGATCCATACGGAGAGCAGCTGGGAGACGGGGCCAACGGAACACCTTTACCAAGTCCTCGAGCGGGCGCCGGGGCGCTTGGGAGAAAGGGCAACTCATCTATTGGAGATGTTGCCAACCCATTAGGGCATATCTTTACACATATTCATTTCAAGGCTGGTATGTGAGCTATGTTTAGTAGTGTTCAAGTGTGGGATCTAGTGGTACAGCCCTGCTCAAGATAGGGCTAGGAAAGCCATCACTGCTACCGGCTTGCGTCTCTTCACTAGCTAGCTTGGTGGCTTGGCTTACTTCTTTGAACTTGCAGTTGTTGATGTGAACGTCATGACCACACTTCCACTTCAGTTACTTTTACAACCAAACATTGTTATCAAAACGACGTCCCCCCCCCAAATCCACCCTTGATTGCACGTAGACCCTGAGCTGGCTACAAATGTGTTATTTTCATGTCCCCACAGTCATAAAACCCAGTGTCCCGTTACAATTTTTTACATGCTTCCCTCTTCATGTACTTGGTTTCAGGCTTGTGATATCCGCTGTATCCTGTGGCCGTCACCGCCAACCTGGCCAAGCCAACAGAAGGGGCAAGCCACGTTCAGATTGCGACCATGAAAATCAACGCAGACTCCCCTGCTGAGGCAGTTTTAGTTGCATTTTGTCTTTACTTTGTTTTTAACTTTAAGTATGAACAGAAATTCTGCCGCACATTTATTGTGATCGAGTACCTTCTTGGTTTGAGTCACTCGCATTGGGTAATTACGTGCACCAGATTGCTCTCGGATTAAAACAAAATGAAGAAGTAATCTCTTATATTTTAAAGCCAAGTGCAGATTTACACGGCAAACTAATCTTGAAGGGAACATGCCAATGTATAGCTGGAAGTCACGGGATCCCTAGCACAGATCAATGGGTGCCAAAGGTAATGCATGCTGCATGGCGTTAGTTGCTGCGCACCCCTTTCGCTTGGCACACGCCGAAAAACTTCGGCATGGCCACTGCAAAGAGTTTTTCAATGATCGCCTAGAGAAAGGGCTGTGCAGTAGCAGATGACGCTGACAGTTTACGCCGCGCAGAGCGCCTGCCACACATCCGCGTGTTCCCTCTTGTGGTTGGGTTGCCTTGCTGCATGCCCATCCGGGAGGAACAACACGGAGCCGGGGTTTCCAAAACAAGAAACTACATTTATTAAAGTAACAGGAATGGATTGTTAGTATTAAGGTCAAAGTAAAACATTGCCGGAGCGTTCGAACTGCACGCCTTTAATTAGGTCCTCCTTACGGGCCCTTTGCATCCAAGATATGTTTTCTGCGGCAATGCTATTTTAAGCCTGATATAATGATATTACATTGTAAAAAAAAACATTGGCAATCAGGTTGCACAAAACGGGAGTCCATATCTTTTTGAGACTAATTAATTAAAAATATTGTATAACGTATAAAGTAACAAAATTATCATCTCCGCACGAACCATGTATTGATGAATGCAATTTTATAGAAATTTTTGATATACTTTAAGCGACTTAATTTGGGCGAGGCCCTAAATTTTGCAAATTGCCTACAATTCGCCAAAAATAGGTCCCGCGAACAATTCCTGTAAAATATAAATACATTGGAATCTACATTGAGATCCCACCGCGTCGCGAAAATTAGAACCCGCGAATTATTCCCAACTTTAGCTTTGACTTAAACTGCGAAATATTGAGCCCACAAAAAATAAGTCGCTTAAAGTATTCTAGATTTTCACGCTAACGATGCCGTGAGAAGGACCTAATTAAAATTACAAATTTATTGATAACTTGGGATCTAGTGAAGCTATCTGAATACTAAATGCATATTTGAAATCACTACTCAAAAATACACTAGCATACTAAAATTCAGCACGAAAAATAAAAAATCAAAAACAAGTTAAATACCCGCGCATTTCCCTTAAGCGTAGGCTGTTCTGAACACCTGACTAGTCTGCTAAGCGTTACATAAGTAGAGTGTTTTTTGCGGTAGCCTTTTTGTTGTATGCTCTGAACCTGTGTTTGAAAAGCTGCCAGTCGACAGGCTATGACAGATCCTATCATCAGTGTTAAGATGATTACTTTCCCTTAAAGGAACACAGACAGTAAGCATTTTTACTGCCTTGATAGGACAGGTATGTCTTAAAATGATTTTTCCTAAAAGAAATTGTACATTATTTACAGTGCGAAAGTTTTTGAAACCCAAAATAACGTCGATTTGTCCATTAAACACATAGGTATAAATAGTGCGCGACCTTTTTTTTAAGTGAAACATTAATTTGAGATGTGCCTCTTCTATACATGCAGTAAAACAGTTTGCTGTCGGTCTCCCTACAAAACCAGCGTAAAAGTGTTTTTTTTTTTTTTTCACGCGGTGTGGTTTGTGATCTTCAATGTCATCTGGACTGATCCATACTGCTGGCATGTCTATAGTTCGTTGGCCGTTTTGTTGCGTATTCTGCAATACACTTTTTTCATTTTTATTTTTACATACATTTAACTGTTTATCTTGTACGAGTACAACTCACATTTTCATGGTTTGGAAGTCTAGTCAAGGTAACAGGGTTTTATGGTCCATGTTATAATTCTGGGCTGTGATATTTTGTGCTCTGTGTGTATATATTTACACAATAGTCTAGCCATTTTCACCAAAGGCACGGTGTGTCACTCATGCTCACATTTCCTGTATCTTTTCCACTAATTGTGGATGCCATTTTCTGCTCTCACGTGCGATAAATAACATGTTTTTCACGTTTTCATGGCTTTATCTATGTTTTCCTGGCATACTTTTTTATATTCTCATATGTGCCAGATTTTGTGACTTTATTTTACCAAATATTGTGATAAACTCCACATCTATAGCCGACAAATGTACGAAGGTTTTCAGCATTCCCATTCTATACCTTGTTATTGCCAAAGCGTATGAACTAAAAGAGAAATAAACTCGGACTTCTTAAATTTCAGAAACCTGGATTTTTTTAGCAATGTGATGGAGTTGTCTTCCACCTGACACTATTTGTTCCTTGTGTGTGCAGATTCTCAAATATCAGCCTCCTCTCGGTAATATTTTAGTCACTGAAGTATACTGTGCATCAATGGCACAGTTTTCCTAGGGAACAACAAGTTTCCCACGGGGGGGGGGGGGGAGGGGGGAGGCACGCTAAAAATGTTTATGTAGACTGATGAGCATGTTTGTTGAGTTGAAGAATATCAAAAGGATAAGACACGTGTGGGACAAGGAACAACACACTCATTTGTTCACTGAAAGAGATTGTATGATGTCCCTTGTCTCACCTGTGTCTTATTCTTTCGGTGTTCCTAAAAATGCCCGTATCTTTGGTTCCCACAGAGCACTTGGAGAACCAGTCACTGAGATCTACAGATAAGGCTTGTTAAATAACAGGGCTCGAAATATGTCTGGACCTAAAGTTACGACTGGGCGGAGATGTCGAGCAACCTTTAGG